TTTTTTATACTTTTTAGGTTTGATTTTTATTACAGATTATTGCATATTTGAATGACAGCTGTCAATATTTGGAGTATAACCTAAGCCTTATACAGCAAATTATACTATACTGAAAACAGCATTAAACTATACAGCACAGAAGTGGCTCATTGACTTGACACCTATCCAAAATTCTCATGGGCACAAATGCCAAGTAGCAAAGTAGGTCATATTTTAGACAGGCTCCTAAAAAAAAAAATAAAATCACCTCAGTTTAGTGAGGAGGTACAATGGAACATGCACAACCCACCCATAGCCAAGTGTAGGTTAAATATACCCTGTTTTGCTGTATCACTCAAGGAACATCAAAGCGTGGAAGAGACATAAAATTGAGCTAAAGAGGCAAGAAGAGCCTGTCTTCAGTCCTTGACTCCCAGAAAAAGTGAGTCTGGGAACAAATGAACAACTGCTGCTTTCTGAGCCCTTCTTGAGGGACAGAAGGACCCAACATGGAAGTACTACCTTGCAGGGAATCTGCAATAATCTTAACACCCCCTACACTAAAGAAGATTGACTAGAAGTTCCTGTTCATTTCCCTCTTTTCCTTTGGATCAAAAAAGGATGAACACTCAAGGTCTCAAATTGTCTTTTATACATTAAAAGATTCTGGCAACCATATGGACACAGAATCCTGATAAAACCTGAAATTCTTCCCATTTTACTCTGCAGAAGTACTCTACTTCCTTCTTCAGGAAAAATAATTACTTGCCAAGAATGATGTGTTATAGAAAAAAGAGTCCACCAACATTAAAGTATCAAATGCTGTAACACCTACAGCAAGTCCTTCAAATTATAGACAGTACTTCAGTGTAACAATCTTCAACTGTGCTATTATGGCTTTATAAAACTAAATACATAATCCTAATACTTCAAGAATTGAAAGCACATTGAATGAAAGTTTCATTTTTTTTAATATTCCTATATGGTCCATCAACCTGTGCAAGAGCACTAGCTTTCACTCAAATAACTATAAGACGATTGAAACCTTATTGTTCAACAGAACTAAATCTCTCATCTGATGTGAAAAGGACCATATTATCCAAGAGCAAGAAACATCATATAAATTTTTGAATGATAATTTATATTTCTGAAGTCATATGAAAAGATTATTTTGGAATTTCAACAGAAGATCCATTTTCTCCTTTCATGAGGCTCAAAGGAAACATTACCCACACCACCTCTTGAGTAAATGCCTTTTACTAAAAGGTCAGGAGATCAGCAAAGTGTCACTGTCCTCACCAACATCAGCTGTGTTCACCTTCCAGATTTCGAAGGGATAGCAGAAATTAATCTAAAAAACCCATTAGACAAATCGTACCTGATCCCGATAAGCAAGGAAGTTTTTTCAGACCTTCATTATGTTCTGAAGCTTTTGAGTGTTTCAAACAATCCTGTTTTCCCTATTCACCTCTTTTTTCGACTGCTGTAAAACAGATTCAAACAGCAAGAAAGTTGAAGATCACAGAGGCTGAGTGCCAGCTCAGAAATGCCACAAAAATTATCCTTTAAAACTAATTACAGGTCATCCGTTACAAGATCTTCTCCCTTAATTTTCAAAGTACCAAATGGCAGGGAATGGACTGTCCCCAAGTATACTACTGATAGCTAGAAAACTTAGCTTATATTAAAACGAATTCTGTAACTTCCAGTTCTAGCTATTCAAAAGTCTGTGATTCTGTCAAGGTGACTGAAAAACCATATTCCTTACCAAGTAGCTACGAAAGAAAAAAATTATGAAAACAAACACTCACAGTAAGAAATTGGTGAAGAAGTCAATAATTTATAGGTAGGTAGACTGTTTAGAAACTGGGGGGAAGGAGGGAAGGAAATATTAACAGAAATTATAAAGAAAAGTTGGATCAACAAAAATACATAAAAGGGACAAAAAAATTAGAAAAGAATAGGTAGAAGACAGCAACAGAGCATTCACATCTACAATAACATGTACAGTAAAAGACATACGGGCATGTATCAAAAAAAATTCTAGCACTCATTTAAGATGCCAGTGCTCTCCCTCCTACTATGTTTTCACACAAACGTTCCAGCAGCAACAGAAGATACCAAGCTCTGGGCATATAAAAGCAATCCCCATGCCAAAATTGAACAGGAGGCAGCTATAAGGGGAAGATGTCTCATCAATTTCACTTAATCATTTACAACATTACCATCTACCCTGAACTGAAAATAAGTAACAGTAGATTTGTTTCTTCCCTTATACAGCTTCTGAGCTGTGTAGAACTAGCTTTCCTTCTAGCACAGAAAAAAACCCCACAAAAACTCCTGTCATGCATATCAGGAACACAGCAGGTCAAGACTAGTTTCACAGTGAGCCTACACCACAATAAATACCATCTGTCACACTGAAGGAGGCAAGTGAATTACTAAAATGTTAAATAACATATATACATCAGCTATAACTCCATAAAATGGAATTACTTATTCTAAATTGGTTGAGAATATATTTGACAGATTTTTAGGGGGGTTTTTTGTAATTTTTATTTGTTAAAATACTATTTCTACACAGGCTCGATAAAGAGAAGCCATTTTACACTGTTCTTTCAAAATGTTTCCAAAATGCTGGTGCTGTAATTTTACCTCTATCATGCCATAAGCATCTATCAATGGTGAAGTTACATGAAGCATTGAGCTTTTGGCAATTTGTTACTGCTTAAATACAGGAGTCTTACTCTTCCTCCATCTCATTTCTTCTCCCGTGCTCCCTACTTATGCTGGAGCAGATGTAATCACAGGTACAAAGCACATCATATTCTCCATTGAACCAATTCAGCTCTGTTGTAAAGCAAAGTACATTATTTTCTACTGAAAAGGAATGTTTTTCTAAATGGAAGACATTTACTTACAGTGGGAGGCAAACCATCCATGAATGATATCTCTTAATTGCCTAAAGAAGAACAGCTAATACACTACAAAGTTACTATACAGGCAGAGCAAATTTGAAATGCACCCAGTTGCAAAAAAACCCCAAACAAACAAAACAAACACCAAAACTGTGGACTAACTCTCTGAAATACTGTACAATTATTTTTTTTCCTGGAGTCCAACAGAAAGAAAACATCACTCTACCCTACACATATTGAGTTTATAAATATTTCATCCTACCAATTTAACTTTCCCATCCAGAACACAGTCATTAACTTAAAGAACACATCTTCCCTGCAAAAAGGTATACACTCCCCTCTCCGGCTAAATAACTTTTTCCTGAGAAAAAAAAAAAAAAAACAAAACTAAAAACCATGTCAAGCAGACTAAGGAACACACACCACTAATCTGAACAGATTGGGAGATGCACTCCAAGATTATTTTATATTTGAAGAATGAGAGTAAAGTCCCAAATCCCACACTAGTATAAAACAGTAAACCTACAGAGGAAAATCAGAAAGAATCTGCAGATTGGTCTTTGCACGTTCCCCTAGAATACAAACCATATGTGCACTTGGGTACTAACCACACTTTTTTATGTAGTTGCCAGGGGTCAAATGCTTGACACTGGTAAAAGTACCCCACTACCAACAGAAAAACCACCAAAAACCTACAGGCATTCTTGTGTAGAAACTATTTTGGAAGAGATTCTTAGTCCTCTTGATGTGAAGAGGCACTAGTACCACAAGTCATAACACAAAGAGGCCTTAGACACAGAAGAAAAATCAGCCTGGCTAACTGACTTGCTTGCATCTCTATCTCAAATTCACATCTGTCACAATCAAAAGCTCATCTTGAAAGAATGAGGTCTTCCCTTCCTCTACAGTGGCTACCCCTTATTTATACTAATCCAGTGACTAAGTAATAGTTCTTCAGCTCTTCAAAGCTTGTATTATCGCTCTCATTAGTATTCAATGCTGAAGACAGAAGCTGAGGAGGTTTTCTTTCCGATTATAAAAGGCAGTTGACAAATTAGCAGAGAATCTTCTTAGAATGAAATATAAGGCACTTGTCTATTTCTTAGTTTCGTCAATCTCATTTTTGCTTGAAAACTTATTTACAAGATCAGCTAGTATCCTCCCTGTACTCTGTGATCCCCTTGGCAATTGACTCTTCAGCTATACAAGGCTAATCACTATTCCTAAATCATTCCTAAAAAGCAAGGCCTTTGTTCAGAAGACAACTTCAGAATTTAAATTAAACACTTAAGACAGCCACCTGTTTTGGTCTATTTACAGGACTATGGGAGACATGACTTATCTGAAATGCAGTTACTGTACATAAAGGCTCCAATTGCCAAGAAAATCCTTGACTTCTACTGCACCTAATTTAGAAATTATGTACTGGAAAGAGTTTCTATTTAAAGCACAAGCAGAAGAAAAGTAGATGAAACCAATACCCTTAGGTAAATATATTCATGCTATACTATTATACTGCAGAAACTGCAGTCGTTCTACTGCTATGTTTTAACTGACATACAGAGTAACTGGACAACAAATTTAATTCAGTTAGTTTGTTCCACAGATTCCCTTTTTTCGGTGCTTTATTTTTGGCTGAACAGGGGGCAGCACAGGCTGTGGCTGATTTGCATGCAACATTTGACTAATGAAGTAACTACTACCTCAGAAGAGAAAAGGGGCCAACCGTAATTGTCTGTTAGGCTGAGGGCACTCTTTAGACCTTAAGCTCCACCCAATTGATTTTTTCCATTAAAACCTCGAACACCTTCCCCCTCCCTTCTCCAGAAAAACAACCATCTTTCACACCTCTATTTCCATTGCCAAATGTGGTTGACATCAAATGTGTTTCCCAGAAACTGGCAGGGTTGGAGGGCAGATGGGAAAACAACATGGCTGTAAAGACAACTCATTGCCTTAGAGAAACCAGACTAAAAGCAGTAGTTTACATTTTATGACAAGGTTTTCAAGTTATTAAATACATTTGGTTAAAATGTCTTAAAATGCTCTATATTCGAAATATTAGGGAGATAAGAAAACTGATGTCTCTTTTCAAATTGTTACCTCAACGATATCTGAGTTGGTTCTGCTTTCATGGGGCTCGTTGTATTCTGTGTATTTAAGTAGAACTTTGTCCATATCAGTGCTGGCATACTGAAAGAGTTTGTTAGAGCTGTTAAAAATGATGAGTGCTATTTCACAGTCACAGAGTACACTCAACTCATACGCCTTCTTCATTAATCCAAACTTCCTCTTTGTAAAGGTGACCTAGAGAAGAAAGAATAATGATTTACTTTTTTTAAAAAAAACATGACAAGGGTTTGAAGGACTATAATCAAGCATTCAAGGAATATACCAATTGAGCCTACACTATTTATTCCTTCTAACAAGCGACATAACCAAACATGTGTACAAGCTTAAAAGAACTGCCTATCGTACTTAGGCGTCACTTTTAGGCCCAATGCTCTATATTAGGCTAAGCCTATTACACACATCCCAACTCTTCCACTGGTATATAACTACCAAGGACAGTTAAAATTTGTAGGATCCTTTAACCTTATTTCCTTCAGTTTAACAAACATTGACTTTCCACATACCACAGTATTTTCTTCTGTGATTATCAGTTACTCTGTACATAGTTTACAAGTTACTCACAACCTTAATTCTAATAAAATCAAAGAAAATGGCAATATCAATGGAAGCAACACCATTGCTACGAAATATGATTTCTAATTATGCAGAGCTAAGAAATACGCTTATTTCGTTGCTATTAAACCATCTAATCAGATTTACTTATACTTTTAAGCTTTTTTCTGCCACTAGGGAACATCATGAAACAATGACTCTGTCCAATTAGAGCTGTTATGGGGAAATAAATCCATTACAGACCATCACAAAGGAGCATTTACCCATCAGGGAAGGGGAAAGACACTTAGTTTTAAAAATCACCATCAATTATGAAAAAAGTTTTAAAAAATATTCCTTTCACAAGATTTCAGCTAGTTAAGAATATAAGAGTATCAATGTATTTGCTGTCAAGTTGAATCAAACACAGGTCTGATACTAAGGTCAACTTTTGTTAAGGAAAATATTTTTACTAAACATCATCAAGTGTCTCAAACAGGCACTTAATCTACTACTATCAAGTTAATGTTCTGAGATCTTTTAAATGAAGACACTATTTTCAGATCTAGCCTTTCAATCTGGGCTTTAGTGCTGAACGGAACATCCCTGTCTATGGCCATATTCACACCTCCATATTAAAATACAAAGTGCATGCCTCTGCAACAGGTGAGTGACCTACATGCCCTACATATCTAACAGAAAATAGTGAGAATATTTTTGCAAGACAGGAGTGAAGTAAAACTCGAGAAACAATCAAACCAGTTTTATAGATTTCTATAGTTTAACATGTTAATTATTTAGGTGTACATCAAGTTTTTGGAAAATGGATGGGAATATTCTGTGTATGCACACCTCAAGGCATTTTTTCTATGCAAATTATTTCTTTAACACTATCCATAATACAAAATATATACCATCCTTTCCACCACATAGTCTCAGAGGGATACAGATACACTAACAGCATTATGTACATAGCATGCTGACAATAACTATTATTAAAACAGTATGTGCATACTTTGCTCTTCCACCACAAACATTTGCAAAGATACTATGGACCTGGAATTCCTCTCCAGCTATAAAACAGTATCCACATCCACCAAAACTGTTTTAACATGTGTCCTGTCCCCTCAAAAATGCACTGTGCCTATGGTTTTTGAAAACCTGGATTGTTAACATTTAGCCACAGTAGGAATGGAGGTAATAGACAAAAGACCCAGAAAGATGGGAATATGGAATGTCAAGCATATTATGATAACCATAGTTCCACCTAGTTCCTGTGCAATGTTTCTAACTTAGAAACTTCTTTGGCTTTAAAGACCACTAATCACAGAGCCTCTTGTGAGGCTTAAATAATCTGTGTTCAGATGAAAAGTGAGTACTTACCATAATTTTTTAATTCAACCCTTTCAAAGTATGTTTGGTGAGAAGCTCCATTAAAAGGCAGCACTATCTCTGAAACAATTTTATGTAAGAGTGCTGTAACACATTCAAAGTTCAACTAGCGTAAGCAGATCTTTTTACCTACTTGTTAACAATTACAATACATTAGTGAGACAAGACGCCAAAAAAATCTGACAGACTTTACCCTAATGCATCTTCTGTTAGCATTTGATTTTCAGTTATCAATTCAACAAACTGACCAAGTACAAATGTAGGTTTTACCAGGCTGTACTTTACCCAAATGTAGGTGGAAATTTTACTATCCACTTATAATACAATACAGCCACTTTTTAAAAACAGATCTTGTGTAAGTCTCCTAGCAGTTCTGTCACTTCATACATGCCTTCTTTCAGAACATGTGGGATTTATTTATCCTATCTTGAATGGGACATTAAGAATTACTTTGTCTGGATTCCTCTTGGGATTTGGAGAAACTGTGGGGTTTTTTTAAATAGCTGTTGTTGTTCTAGATACTTCAATTACCTGAGTATGAGCACATATAGACAGATACTACTGTTTAGCTTTTGTTAGGAAAAAGGCATCATAAACAAGATGTGTGTGTGCTTTATTACTTTGAGATATCATTAAATGGAAAGACTGAAGGCTTAGTTCCACTGAGGACCCATATGATCCTGGGAAAGGGATCTTAATTTCTCTACTGAATTGTTATCTTTCTCACCTCTTCTAAGGCTATTTTACTTGCAAGATTCTCAGCTAGGGTCGATTTCTCACTTTATGTTTGGACAGTGCTTAGCACAAACCCCACTACCACTGGAGTCCAAGCCTTACTTTAACACACATAAGTTTTTATAAACTCGGTTTTCATTTAAGAACTCAGAAAGCAGAATATTAGTTCTGCAAATGTCTTTTTTTTTTTCTTTGCCATTTAGGACCACACTAAAACCAAAAATATCTATCTTTATTGCAGGCCAACAGCTTCCTCAGCACTATTCTAATACTGCTTAGCAAAAAAGGGCAAGAAGGAGAGAGCAAAGGCAGCAAGATTGAGTTCCTTTGATATCTAATTTACTGTACTTTATTCTCTTCATCTTAATGAAGATAAATGTCCTACAGCTCATTCAAGCAGATAAGAATGATTAATTAATAATACAATGACAGTCTCATGACAATTATAATCCTCCAGAGTAATTGTCTATATATACTGTTTTGAGCTCACATACAATCCCATCAGAAGTAAGATGCTTCTGATAAAACAATAGCTTTTATTCTCACAGAAGTTATATGAACTTGCTCTGCAGGCAAAGCTCTATCCCATTCTACTCATTTTCAAATAAAAAACCTAAACATCATACTAAACGTGTGTATAAGACATCATATGCAGGTTCGTAAGTACCTGCTAACTGGCTATGTACGCCATAGAAAAACTGACGGAACACGAGTGAACTATACTTTCTGTTTGACAAAACAAACCCTAAATGCCCTCCTTATCTGGGTCAATGAAAAAAATTCTCAGAAGTAAATTAATATGTAATAAATATCCTGTGCATCAGGGCATTTTAGTATGTTAAAACTCTATATACTAGCTACCAAAACCGCAGGACACCAGTGGTGTTAGATAACACCATCAATACCTCTACATATAAAGAATTTGGCTCCACTAACAAAAGCTATTTAATCTCTGAAACCTTTTTAAAACAAGATGCAATGTGTTATCATCTGAGTTTCCACAGAAAAAGGGTATGGTAAGCCTAATTCCATTGTTAAGTTAGAGGTTAAACAACTTCGTAGTCACTAAAAAGCCCCAAAAAGTGCTAGCCAAAAAGCAGCTAGAAACAAAACTTAGAATTTAATCGCCATATTTTGCGTCAGTCACAGCAGTGGCACAAGCAGGCTAAAATTTGATACAAATGCCATAATTCTTCTCTACATTGTTCCAACCTGAACAATGAGATTGAGAGCCATAAAAACAACTCCCCATTAAAAAAAAAACAAAACAAAAAACAACAAAAAACCCACCCAACCACCAAACCCAAAAAAACCCTCAAAAACACACACCACACCAAAACCAGGGTATAGCATAATGATATTTGTATTTAAAGCAGAACAAAACCAAGGTTGTCCAACTTCCTCCAAATAAATTAAAAAAAGGGGGCAAAGGGGGATCAATTTCCACCTCTTCAACATGCTCTAGAACTTCAACATGAAGTTCTAGAGCAAGATCTGAAAGAACTGAAGTTATTAACTCATCTACTTTTACTATGTGTACTTAAGACATTTATCTACATCAAACATACGGTCACTGTGTGATTAAAGCTGTTCAAACAGTACTTGGCTTTCTCCCAAACTTCAATAATACTTTTCTTGCTATATATAGTCTTCGACTCAGAGTTTACATTGCTTTAAAGTGATACAGGAGAAAAACAGTCCTGATTTCACAAACAAAACAATGGCTTCTGAGCTGGTATGTCAGCAGCAAGACAGTCTCATGGAATTCTGACACTAGCCCAACATCAAGCTGGTGCTCAGGAGAAGTCAAAAAAGCAAATCAAATACTAGGAAGGGAACAGAGAACAAGCATCAGTACACCATTATGTGAGTCCATGGTTTGCACGCATCTTGAACTCTGTGCAGTTTTGGGTCCTTTTGCCACCAAAAATAATACAGCAATACTCAAGAAGGTTCAGGGGAAAGTAGCGAGAATGATCAAAGGTGTGGAATAAACTCTGTATTAGAACAAGTAAGCTGGGGTGCTTCAGCCTGAAAGTTATTTTAAGACAAAATAAGAAAACACAACAGAGGTCCACAGAATAACAAGCAAGATGGACAGACTAGATAGGGAGTGATGCTGCCTCTTCCATACAAGAGCTCAATAACTAGCAGAACCATGACTGAGCATGAAAGAAAAGGTGTTTCTTGAAACAACAGGTAATAGACTTATTGAAACTCCTAGCCAAAAGATGTTACAAATGCTGCAACTTTATAAGGGCTCAAAGGCTGAATGAACAAGTTCACTGGCAGGGGGTGGGGGGGCGGACAGTTGTGGGGGGAAATCCATTAATGGTTACTAAATATACGGAAACCACATCCAGCTCAGGAAATCCCTGAGCTAAGAATAGTTCAAAGTTGGACGAGGATTAGTGTAACATGTGCATCTCTTTCTACACTTATTTGCTTATGACCATCGTTGGACAGAAGATACTGGCCTAGCCGCATCTTTGGTCTGACCCACTATAACTATTCTTAAAGATTGTAAGTCATTCCTACAATACTTTTCCTTAAAAATGGTAGCTTCTAGATACCCCACTATACATTTCACTATCCAATTAAAATTTTATTTCCTACCTCATGTAGCAATTTAGAAGTTAAGAGGAAACACTACTGCACAGAGTCATCAACTTTTGGTACTTTTCAAGTTTGCAGGAGATCTCTTTATTAGGGCAAGATCAGCAGAGTAACCAGCTTTCCCTGAAACACTGCACTTTTGTGTACTCTTCCCTTTTGACTGAATTTTTAAAGACTGTTGTATTAAACAGCACTTACAAGGAATATGAATCAATGCTTCTAAATAGAATCATGTTAACAAAATTCATTACTATATCCAGGCCACTGTAGATCATTGTCCACAGCTATGTCAAACTCCTGTCAAAGAGGCTGCAGCAAATACTGTTACTACATCTTTTCTGAATTTCTCGTCCTTTCTCTCCCTTCATTACTAAGCATTAGTAGTAGCTGTCAGATCAAGGTGCCTGTTTCAACACAATCCTCCAGTTTATTGGAAGTACAGACTAGGGTACCATTTAAATAGGAACAGTAGTTTTACTGTGAATTTGATTTAAAGTAGTAATTGATATTACTTATAAATAACACTTTTCCCTCAAACAGTAGTAAAACCATTGAGACATATTTCTTATTTGTATTCTGGTAATGCCATCTGCAGATACATGAAGACAAAGCTCGCCTTTAGAAGAGTGAATTAAGATGAATGTATTCAAAGTTTCCATTCATTTTCAGGATTAATGATGAACTTGTTCATGCAGACTCCTTGTTTCTCACCTGTCTGTTCCGTTCATCCATTATTCTTGTGATCTGTATTTTCTTTCTCCCCATTTTCAGCGTCTTCTTTCTTTTGCTTTACAGTCCAGAAATACACTAATCCAAGAAATATCACTCTTCAGTATTCTAACACATGATACAGTTTTCTTTTACTTTGTCTTCAGCTTGAGAAAACGTTCCTACTTCTTCTTATAAGCCCCTAAAAAATAAAATTTTGAAAAAAATTAGTTTACAAATTACTAAAGAGGAAGCATCATTAAACACCTGTATAGCTGTAAAACATGTGCATGCATAAAATAATTTCAGTGAAGAAGCAAGTATTTTCATTAGTAAGATACTATATTACATATTTTGTTCCAATTAAATAGTTTGCTAGATTCTACCTAAAACCTACAGATTTAAAATTACCAATAATTTCATACACTTTCAAATGGATGCCTTAAAAATTTACAGTTGTCAAAGTTGTCTAAGCTTTAGACCTTGAGTTACCTGAGGTTTCAAAAATTTACCCACAAAGTTTTGGTAAACTCCATTCATTATCTTAGGAAACCTTACAGAGAAACTGCTTTGCGTTTCCTGTTTGTTTTGTAAAATTATCATCACTATAATGAAACAAAACCATGAGAACATCAAGCTTCTGTTCCTAAACTAAGTTAGATCTCATTTCGTAAGACAATATTTGGGGTTTTATTGGGAAGTGAAAGAGAGAAGGGAGAGTATTAAAGGATAAAGACTAACGAAAACATTTTCATAACAGAACTATTTCACAGCTACCAAGACATCAATGAATAATTAAGATATGCACATAGTTACTCTCTCAACAATATCCTGTAAGTTACACATTTGCCAATAGCCATTTACCAGTCCAACACTTGTTTCCTTTGGTAAATTGTTTAGAAAGATAAAGGTACACGCAACTTGAAAAGCCAGTGTGCCATCATAGTATTTTAATCTGGTACTAATGCACTGAACTGACTTGTAAAACACTGATATCTGATAAACTTTAAATGCATTTTCAGCATTCCATATTCCAAACATACTGCTTGAACTGTAGGATAACATTAATTCAACAAAACTGGAGAACAACTGAAAATAAATAGCCTGTAGAATATCAACTGTTTACTAGAATGTATCAACATGAAATAGGTACACCTTATTCTATTACCACCTAATATTCACTAAAATAAAAGGGGTAAACACAGCCACAGTATTACCTTATAACCTCTCTAACTTTCCAAACCAAAACGTCTTTTGAAATCAAGCCTTGCATATTTTAATATGGGTGTCACAATGCCATATCCTTGAGGCCATGTGTAGAAAGTGGTGCAACCACATCACCATCAGACAGTCAATAAGCAGAGACAGCAAGAGGCGATTAGTCACAGGCTACACTTCACAATACATTTAATTTTCACTGAGGAAGCAACCATGACATTCTGATGCAGCTTGGGAAAAAAAAAATAAAAGGTGGAGGAACATCACAAAATGAAGGGATGTCATTTTATATTTACCCAGTATCAACAAAGGACTGCTTTGGTAAATCATAAAATGCCCAACAGTATTTAGAAATACTATTCCATGGAATTTAAGATCAAATCAACACTAAGATTATGTGATGTCCATTGGTCAAAAGGATATGCGCTAGACATCGTTCATACATCAAAACACGTAAAAGCATGCATCAGCGCTGCATTCATCTTCTTCAAGAAAAAAAATTTCTTCCAAGGTGCTGCTAAAAAGGCATTAATAGCTAGCTAAGGCCAGATGAACAAGCCTCTACACAACCAACAGCACACAGCAAATCTTTTACATGAAAAGCAACAGTTGGCATATAAAGTTATACCTTTTTTGTTTAAAAAAAACCAAACCAAACACCAAAAAAGAAAAACACTAGCAAGAATATCCACTGGACTCTAAGCTTCAATTCATAAAACATTCAGTCTTAAGTCAGCTGCCCCACTCAAAAAAAAAAACCCAAACACCCCAACAAAACAAAAAACCCCACCACTCAGCACATGCTACGATCACACATTAAATTTAGTTCTGCAAAAAAATCTGGTTGCATTCCTTGAACATATCTGATGAAAGAGTCTCTATAAGCAGCTCTTAAAATTTGTTTTCTTCTTCATGTGTGGCTTCGTTTTTTAAATATACCATACATTATGGAAATAGTTCTCTGAATACCGAATTACTAGATTCCTCCTCCTGCTTTTTAAAAGCACTCATCATCCTAACTAGCATATACAAATAGCCACCACTTGTGAGACCAAAGATCCATCTGGTCCATCATTTTAACCACAGCTATTAGCAAATATCACTAGGATGGTAAAGGAAAGACACAGGAATAGAATCACTTAAAAGCAATATTTACAAAGCATTTTATCCAGATATATAGTGATTTTTTGAATCAGAAACTTTTAGTGTCATATATGGAGTCTTAGATTTAAAGCTGTTCATCAAATTTTCTTCCGTAATATCACTTTTGAATCTGTGTAAATTTTTAGTACCTAGAAGCAAGGAGTTTCACAGCTTAGTTACGCATCAGAGTAGAAGATACATGCTTTCACTTAAGCTTGATCCTGCTAATTATATTTAGTATCCACAGATTTTTAATTATACAAGGCAGTAAACAGTCATATTTAGCTTTCACATTTGTTAGCCTTGATTTTGACGCCTATATTGTATCTTCCTTCAGTTACCTTTACTCAAAACTTAAGAATCCTACTCCAATCAACCACTTCTTACACAAGTCATCCTGTTCTCCTCTCCCCCCTTTCCAGTTACACACGGTTCTTTCTGAAACAAAAGGACACACAGTGTGTACAGTATAAAAGATATGAGGTATATAAAATTTTATGATAATCTACCATAAATTTATACAGAGGTACAACAATATTTTACGTCCTATTGCATTAGACATACACCTAGGCAAATTTACTAGTTCTCAAAATTTCCTAAGGAAACAGACTAATGCTCCAGAACACAGTTTTAAACCCCTTTGTAGGACCACACACTTTCTTCGTACAGTGCTATCTCATTCACTCAGCTATTCCACCTTCTGCAACAGATATTCAAAGCAAGTCTATGCAGTGAATAAAATAAGGAGCTCATGAGAGAACAGGGCAGAGAGGAAGAGAAATAGGATGTGAGATTATGCAATATATATACTTAAGGATACAAAAAAACCCAAACATTTTCCATGAGCTAATGGAAGAAACAAAGCAGTGCAACACTTATTTGTTCCACGTACCATCACACAAAGGGAACTGGGAAAACTCACAGTAATTTTCACCAACATTTTGTTACTGTTTTAGGATGCTATTTCAGGTTTTTTTAAAATTAGTAGGGTATGCTCTATTAGGCACAAATGCATCGATCTATTTCCCATTTATGATCTCTGCTTCACCCTCTTTAATCAGTCCACTGTTGCTCTCATATCAGGTCTGTTACTTTCTTCAACCTCAAGCACTTTTCCCACTTAGCAAATTCCAAATACCTATTTCCATGTCTGTCCCTGTCTGGGTCCAGCCTCTCCTCCCTCTCCCACAGGTTGCTATGGACACCAGAATCCTGGCTTTGAAACACATTTGCCAAAGGCATCCCAGCTCTGAAATACAGCATCCCTTTCATTTTGAAGTCACATACAAGATGATTTTCAAAGCCAAGAACTGAAACATAAGTTTGGCATGAGCTTAGGGTAGAAAGGATCCTGACACTAACTGCAAAATCAGAGTAAATTGTGCAGTAAAAAGCCACTTTTCATGCGTGCTCAGAACATCCAAATGGGAAGTTACCACCAATGACAAATGCACATCACATTTATCAAGGGAGGAATGACTTTTCCTTTTTGTAATCCATGATGATATCAGAGTTGCAGTTTTATTTTCCTTCCTGACTAGCAACAAAACTATGCAAGATGTAAGACTGTGTCCACTACATGGTTACATAAAAAATGTAATCAGCAAAGTTTTAATTTTACTAAATCATAGTCACATTGCAACCATGCTCAGGAAAAATTCTTAAGTTACAAAGCCATTTTGTCTAGATCATCAACAAATTTTTGCTCAAATAAAGGAAAATGAGCCGACATATATGAAGATCAATGCACATTTATTTCTGAAAATAAACATGAAACTAATGTTAAGTAACCTTGCTGAAGGTAAAGTTCTACTTCCTTAAGTGACAGAATCAAATTACAGCCACCAAAACTGCTTTACATTACTTTCATGGACACACAGAGCAAAGTATTTTTCTTTTTTTTTTTTTCCCCTCCCCAAATAAGAATTTCAGACATCTATTACTAAACACAATAAAAGCAAGCAGAGAAAAAGAAGAAAAACACCCATGTGTTTCATGAGCTTTAAACAGAAAATAATGTCAGCTTGCAATAATAGCAAGAAAGATGATATTTGTAGCTGTCCAAGTAAAAGCCTCTTATTGTATAAAATTAAGCTTCATTCCAAATTTTCTGGATTTATTCCCTTCCCCAACACACATGAAAACACCACATTAAATACTGAAACATAAGAGAACCATATGCAAAAATATACCCTCATGACTGCACATTTTCAGCAACTCAAATCAGTTCGTTTGTTGTCAAGGTTGCTTACAGTTTCAATACAACTTTAAAAGCAAGGAAACTGTATTTGACCTATTTAAAAAGATTCTTTCAAGGGTTCGGTGGAAACAAATTATATCTGTGCAGCACTCCACAAGGTCTGCAAGCCTTCTGGCAGAACAGGTTAGGAAAAAACTCTGTCAGAATTATACTTCTTCCATTTATTTTCCTTTTACTTCCTTCTGCCTCTGTTTTCTTGGAACTTCCATTTCACCATCATGGTTACAGGTTACATTTGACAGTAACCTTCTCATCACAGCCTATTTACTGCAATGCACACAAAGACATGAGTGTCATGACGTCAGATAATTTGCATGATAACTCTCAAAAGCCACAGCTGCATGAAAACACAGATCTGCATAGATGCATCTCGCACTGATAAGGATTAGGTAAGGCTTACTAAATAGCAGACAGTAATTTTTACTAAATCAAGGTTAATGGGTCTTTTTGTAGTCTTAAAAGAGCCTGTGCAGACATTTTTCTAGAGTTGGCCCCTAAGCATGAACTGATGGGCATAGACTGCACAACAAATCACGGTCAAACTGCACATGCGCTGGTAATTCTAACACTTTGAATGCTTA